ATATATATATATTTAAAAAAAAGGTTAAGCATCACTGTACTATATACTCTGTGTACTATTAGGGAGGTGCTATCTTCACCCCCCTTTCTCTCACACAAAGTACCCAGGCTGGATTGCCACTTACTCCACTGGAATGTACCCCCTCCTTCCTGGGGACTCATCTCCTCACAACATCCCCTCACAATTTTGCCACAAGCACACAATAATTTCACAACAACAAAAACGAGGAGATGCAAATGAGAATATTTTTGCCCATATTACAAAAAGCTAGTCCCAGTATACAAATCACACCGTATGGCCAGGAAACAATGCAACTCAAAACATGCGCCTTCAAGATTAAAGCAAGAGCACAAACACTTAAAAAGAGGCACCTGCCAAATTCTTAGATTTTTAATTTATTGTTATTGTATTCTTAGCCGGATGAATTGCAGGGGGAACCTGAAATGACCTAATCACTTGCCCGAGTTGGGCAAAGTGTATAACTCTTAATTTGAGACAGATGTTCACCATTTTCTGGTCCTCATGAGACAACCCACAAGACTTTGCTCGTGTTTGAGTCAACCACGATTCTATGCATCTTTATGGGTTTTTATTCAGTTTGCAGCAGTAGCTTCGAAGATTTGCAGCTCCAGAACTTAATTTGTCAGCCTAAGTCTTCTGTAATAAAAATGCTAGTGCTCAAAATGTCTACTTGACAGTCTAGGAAAAAGAGCCCAGATGTTGTAACAATCTGTCCCTCAATGCTCCAGTTTCTATATTACACATTAAATTTTTGGCTGAAATGATGTAACATTATTCCAACCGAAATGACAACGGAAAAGAAAAGAAATTTAAGTGGCAAGACAAGAAACCTGTGAAACTGGACACGCAGTGAAAGTTGACAGGACATTTCACTGCACTTTAATCAGATAACTTGGCGTTAAGTCACTATTGGAGGGTTTTTTTCCCCCCCTCCCACCGAGAACTGCCTTTCATAATGATTCTGGGATTACACTAAGTACCTAAAAAGTAATCCAAATTACTTCTTTTGGAATGTATTTCCCCTCCCCCCCCCACTTTTTCAGTTTAATTTGCAATCTGGTGTTTTCAGCTGTTTAATTTTCAGGCCTTAGTGAGGCTAAAGGAAGAAAGTGCAAAGGAATTAGGTTACGTTTATCTTAACAAAGAGAAGTCTGAGAGGAGACATGATAGTAGGCTTCTAATACTTGAAAGGCTGCCAGAAGGAAGAGGGCATCAATTTAATCTGTAAATAGGAGGAATTTCCTGACAATAAGAACTATTAACCAGTTAAACAGGTCGCCTCCTGGAGTTGTGGGTACTCCATCACTGGATTCCCACCTTGGGCAGAGGTCTGGATTAGAAGACCTAATTAGAAGACCTAATTAGAAGGTCCATCCAGCCCTATGACTCTATGACAGTGTTTCTCAACCTTGGCCACTTGAAAATGTCCGGACTTCAACTCCCAGAATTCCCCAGCTGGGAATTCTGGGAGTTGAAGTCCGGACATCTTCAAGTGGCCAAGGTTGAGAAACACTGCTCTATGATCTCCCATGCAAGTTATTAACCCTGATGCTTAACTTTTTGAGATGAGCTAATCTTCCTTACCTGGTAACTGGAAAAGAATCAGCATAGTTAATTTGCTTTTTTTGGGGGGGGGGGGGGAGTTAAGCTAATAAACCAAGATTGATTGAAAAATAAGATAAAATTACTATTACTTGTAACTATAAATTGACTTATTATGGAGTACAGTGCTCCAGTCAAAGTGCAGAG